GCAAACTAAACCTTGATATTCCAAGCATTTGACTTAAGGTTTAGACCTTTAGACAGATTAAAGCAAGTGACAACCAATACAATATGTGTTTTGCCCTCTTCTGTTCTAAGATAGAGCCCAAGGCTTGAACTTGAAGCATTTAAACAACATTAAAAATAACATAAATGCAGCCCCTATGGAAGAGAAATATGAGAGAGTTAGTTAAGATTAGTTGAATACGTTCAAAATATGGCGAGTGCTAACTCGAGTATCAGCAAAGAGAGACAAAAACATGGAGGTATTTGAAGTGCCTTGCAAGAGAAAATAAACCCACCACTAGAGGGAAACCTTTTTAGTTGATTTAATAAATCCCTGAATTGATTTGATACGAAAACATTGCTGTTGGATGTGAAGTCACAGTATTCCTTGTATGATAAATGTTGAGTGCTTGAATGAAAATAGACAGTCAAGACAATGTATACACCTAAAGTAAATAAGTACCCAAGATAACAATTGACTGAAATGTGGACATCAACTCCTCGAACAAATCAGTCTTAACTTTCAAATGCATATTCAGATTTAGCTTTTGGTATATGAACAACAAACCTGTAGATAGTCCACATCTGGGGCGGGCTTATACTCCGATACCATAACTGCTCCTGACCCTTCAACGAGAGATTGGGCTTGGGTTGGAATCTGAGTTTTGACTTCTTCATCAGAACCAAACATCTGAATCTCATTCATGTCCCCATCCCTCAGATTATCAATTATTTGATGTCTCTTCTTATATCCACATAGCCACTATACCAGCACATAGAAAACAGAGGCCCTGGTAGTAAATCATTAGTGAAAACCAACTGATACATGGAAATTATTATTAAAACAGGTTGTGTTCGGAAGATCAGCCATCACATGAAAAGTTACAACAATCTAAGTGGAGAAAGGTTGTTGCAATCATTAATAAATCCATATACACGTAAGCAGAAGTGATATTCACGCCCGAGTTTTCTTACTTCCATTTTTTATGTATTTTTTTAATAGATTTTAATATATTGTGTTTGTATATTCAATTTATTAATTTAATTTGGTTTCACATTCATGACCTCAGCACATTTATTATAGATAACCACGATCTTATAAATTGGGTTAATTTGCAATTAAGACATTTGCTAACCTATGATTATCGGAACATACTAAAAGATTCCACAAAAGATTATTTAATAACTTGCAGTACACCTGTACATAAAATTCAAGGGGCTACCATGAGGATGCAAAGAAATCTTAACTTCTTAAGAAACTTATGAAGGGCCAGACTAAATACCTGCAAATCATAAAAACCCAGGTTTCTTTCAAGCTTACTCTTATCAGAGTCGACCAAAAGTAAGATAACCTCTTTCTAGCACACCCATCAATTACACTAACGTTGGAGGGAATTAAGACGAGGTTTTCTGAGCCTTGCACTGGATCTGGTCAGTAATCAGATCTTAATAAGCACTTGAATTTTACAGACATCGATTGTTTGCAAACGAATAAATTTTGTTTGCATCTTTTTATGCATACTCTTTGTAAAGCCAAATCCAGATTGTAGTAATTTCTGGGTCTCGCAGTTGGTGTAGTACCAGTCGAGACAAGCCAACTCCTGGGACTTAGAGCACAAAGGCTCTCCCACTCTCGAGCATTAAAAGGTTTTTCAACAAGAGATTGGAGGCCAAGATCCCTATACGTGGCTAATCTCAGTTCAAAATCAAGACATATATCACTTTCAGAACTGTAGTAATTCAGAGATTCCAGTCCTGTCCATAACTGCAAAATGGAAATGCTAGAGGCTGCTCATCCGATTCAACTCTACGATCGGTAAGCAAACATACTCGCACAACGGCTCTAGAAAAAATTTAATTGACTCCAAATTGTTATCATTAGTGTGACAAATAAGAAATGTTTGGTTGCCTCTATTTTTTATAGTAAAAGACACAGGATAAGGATCAAAGGAGGCATTTAACCAAAAAAAGCCTGTCTCTCGTACCATCACAGCTCATCAGATCTAACCCTATACACTAAAAACTCCCTTCATCTCCTGACTTTCCAACCCTTTAATCTCTCAATTTTACCCAATTGACCAAGATAGGATTTCCTTCAGTATTAAACCTTTACTCTTTATTTTTCTGTCAGTGATCTTGTTAAAATTATCAATAATAAGTTTTTTTCTGCTTATGAAGCTTCAATGCCTGGTTTTCTTGGTACTTTATATCCTTGTTTCATGATTAGAGTTATCTTATATTTTTTTTTGCAAATGCTTAGGTTTTGTAGTGAAATATCCTCAAAAAGAAATATTATCACACATCAATATTTCCATCAAATGATTCAAATTGGCAATTAATAATTTCCTCTTCTGTGAATAACATCTAATGTCAAGTGCTTGACTCTCCAGATTTACCTAACCTACCATTTGATGTCATATTGCATTTAACGAATTATCTTCCAGTTTTCACATTTATCTCGTTGCTGATGTTCTTCTCACTTCTCAGTTAGTATAAACTACCAGTTCGCAATAGAAGCAGGAGAATCTTCAAGATTTCCTTATCCTTCTCCTATTCATGTAACTTTACAGATACCAAATGCCAATTTGTCATTAAGAACCAATGATAAATGAAAGAACTTTGAAACAGTGAAGGAAAAAAATAGCTCTGGACCGAGATATTATGGAAAATAACAATAAAATACAATCATGAGTTTTGGATCCAGATCATGAGCTAATTCAGTCAGCCGGTAGTTCATACATTTATAAAACCACAAAAATTTCCGGGACAATTTTTTTATATTTAAATTGCAAGACAAGATTTATTTAAGAGAAAATGACATAAGTCAATCCCATACTTCTACCTCTCTAAAAATAAATACACATCTCACTGTTTACCTTTTGCGAATATTTCTTTCTAAAATACAACACCTATGGCCGATTTTATTCCTCAGATGGTAACGGTTCAAACTAAGATTTCAGGGAATCCATAAGATGACATCCAATAAAAACTCATCCATTTTGTAATAGAAATGCACTAAAACCTAAAATACAAACAAGAGAACCAAAATAGAGACACACCCATATCCCAAATGTGGCGTAAAAGAATAGCAAAATCCAACAAGTATCCTTCAAGCTCAAATTATTCCCCTTCAAACATCAAAATACACAGGACCCATTTACCACAACCCATTATACATCAGAAACAAACACAAATCCACAAATATAAACATAAATATAGAATCATACAGAGAGGAAAAAAAAATTACCTTGTTTCTCCGCGAAGGAGAGTATTGTGAAGAAGCAAATCTTGTGTCATTCTGTGAAGAAAAAGAAAGGGATTGAAAAGGGCTAAAACAACTAGCAGATGTCGTTGTGACAACGGTCGAAAAGTGAGAGAGTTTTAAAGAATCAAAATGCATCAATGAAGGCGTTGCCATCTCTCTCTTTTACTCACTTTTCTTGAAAATAATTTATACACACTACCGACTAAAATCCCTTTTCCAATTTCCACGCTGCTATTTCTACTGTGTAGTTTTAATTGGTTGGTTCACAGTTATCGAAAGAATCTATTTCTGGGCATATTTTCTCGAAATCCCTTATTTTCTTAGAGAGAGAGTGATGGATGATAGGTTGGGGTAGAAATTTTTGACGAAAAGGGTGGATCCTTTTTCTCATTTTGTTCTTATTTGCGCGCTTTTTGTTTTATTTTGAGTATTCGTTAACAATGAGTTACATATTTCATTAATCGCCGAAATTAAAATGTGTTTAATTGCAAGTACGAAAAAAAAAATAAGTGATAAGTTATAGACAATTGAATTGTCTAAAATTTTATTGCATAAAAATTATTAATGTTTGATTGACTTAATTTTAAACCTAGAATGTTGTACTTTTCGATAACATTGAGTTTTTAGGGAGTGTGAATTTCTTTGAAAAAACATGTCCCAATGAAGAAAACATTTTCCTTATCTTTGAGGAAAACATGGTCATGACCAGCTCTTGAAAAATATTTTTAATGAAAAAAATGTCAATCAAATACTCCAAAAGTAGGAATTTGGATGGAAAAATGACATTTTTCATGAAAAATAAATTAATCAAACAAACCAACTGAACTTTAAAATGATTCCGAGTGGTTACCGAACTTTAACATTTTGTACTTTATCACTTACCCACCATGTTTCATAAGTCATTGAACTTTAAAATGTTTCCAAGTGGTAGCTGAATTTTAACATATTGCACTTCATCACTCACTCATCATGTTTCATCATTCACTAAACTTATTCCTCAAACACACTTTATTCACTAGATTTTAAAATGCTTCTGAGTAGTTACTGCACTTCATAATATTTTCGAGTAAAGTAGATTTTCTCTTAAATTCGACCTAGATCAAGAAACTAAAACAAATATAGATTAGATAATGAGATTCTCAATCTAGGACGATAATATTGATATTAGTCAAGAAGATATAATTTCTCTATTTTGTCAAAAGCTATGTTTAAGGAGAAAGAAGAGTGTTGACTTCAAATTGACACATATCTTAATTTATATCATACACTTCCTCTCCATCGAAAAAATGAAAATAAAAAATAAAAGATAAATTATCTCAACAAGTGCTAGCGCATAGAGTGATGCTAGGATTTCATTTTGCTTCCAGCAAAGGAGACAAGGAAAGAGAACCTTAACCTTAAGTGTCTCGTCTCCTATTAAGATCCAACCTAGCCTTTATTTAGATTGAGGTCAAAATCTCAAATCAAGAAAATAAAAAATTACGTCTCAACTAGGTAGTGAAATTTCGATTTAGAGTCAATAATAGTAATCAAGATTAACAAAATACAATTTTCAAAGTTGTCAATAAAGTAATTCAAAAGGAAAGAAATGGTGTCATTTTTATGTATGTTATTTTGTACTTTAAAATTTTCAATTTTCGAATAGTTGGATTCAGTGAGTAAAATTCAGTAACCACTCATAGGCATTGTAAAGTTCAATGAGTAAAGCGCGATGATGTATAAATTCAGTGAGTAATAAAATATGGTAAGTGAGTGATGGGATGCAGCATGTTAAATATCAGTAACCACTCGAAGTCATTTTTAAAGTTTAGTGACTAATAAAATAAGGTGAGTAAATTATGGAGTGCAACGTGTTAAAGTTCAGTGATCATTGTAAAATATTTTAAAGTTTAACAAGTAAAGCGTAACAAAAATATAAGTTTAGTGACTAATGAAATATTTAACTCCGAAAACAAGATATAGTTTAATAAAATTTCACATCGTTGTATTTTTTATTTCAAAATATTATCTTAAATTGAAATATTATAAGCACTAGATTTCTTACTATTATAGAACATTTATATTCACCATAAATTTTGTTTGTTCTATCATTTTATAAATATATCCCTACTATCTTAAAAGAGGCAATCCACCATTTACTGTTCATTTGTGAAGATTTTTTTATCCCATTTTATCCATATCCATTCTCTAGTATTCATCCAAACTTTAAGGGTAATATGGTCTTCCTCCTATCCATACTCACAATTGTTGACTTTGAATTTCTGCTTGCGTCTTGGAAGAGGAAAAAGGAGGAAACGACAACTTTTTTCACAAGCTCTCTGCTTCAGACCAACAACATTAATTTCATCTTCGTTAGCAGATTAACGGAAGTTACAATTCAATACTAAATCGTATATTTTGCGATTTTTCGAATTTCCCACCGCAAGCATAGGAAGATCGTGAGGAACAGTAATAGAAAGTTTGATATCTTTGGTAAACAGACTGCAAAGAACTTGCACTGTACTCATGAACACTACTTCCATCTTTAATTTTTCGAATTAATTCATGTATAATAAAAATAAGATTTAGGTATTGTAGAATGTTACTTAACATTCATAAGCATTTACATTAAATGAACATTTAAATTACCATATAGGGTTTGAATCTCTTGACTTTGCAAAAACGACCCAGGATGGCGCATAGTACAGTAGCTCCAACTGCGCATCGTGCCTTCTTCCTCTTCTCTCTGCAGTGCTCGGAGAGAACTCTTCCTCTCCACGAAAGTCTCCGCACTGCGTGGAGAGAGTTGTCTCGCGAAGACCCCTCTACGTGCATGGAGAAACAACGCAGAGCATGTCTTCTCGTGCGCGGAGATCTCTCTGCGCAGTGTCTCCGCTCCGCACAGCGCAAAGATCAGATCCCTCTTCGCGCAGTAATATTATTTTTGTAGGAATCTAAGAAAATTATAGGGAATATAAGAATCTGAATAAACTCCAACACACGTAAATCGCTATCTTTTAAGAGATGTTTCTCCCCTATCCAAAGATGTCACAATGGGGTTTAAATGAAAATCTCTTTCAAGATACAATTGAGGTTTTTAATTCAAATTGTGACGATTTGATCAAATCAAGAGCAAACTGATGATGCCTAAGGAACGAAATAATAAGTAGAATGAATATCTATGTCGTATATGCAAATGGGCAACTCAACTACACAACTCTTCAACACATAAACGAAAATCAGAATTCCCTTTCGGGGGCTTCGCCCGTTTTGAAACGGCAAACCATTTGTATAACAACAATAAACAAATAAATAAATTATGAAAAAATATGTAACAATTTTTCAGTTCAACTATGTAACATTGTTAATTTGTTTTGATGTTATTAAAAATTCATACCATTCTACACACATCTTTATTGTTAAACAACAAAGTATAGATACATACTTATCACTAATATTACCTTCAAAATAACATAACTCGTGCATTGCACTGACAATAGACTAGTACTAATGAAAAAGTATTTAAGACTAAAACTTAACTCAAGTAGGTATTCGAGCAAAACCTTATCAGACTAATGACTTGAGTTTGACGTCCTTTTAGGGGGAGGAGTGATGAAATCCTTTGATCTCTATTAAAAAGAAAATATTAATTAAAAAATATTATCAAGAAGTGAACTTGATGTAGCACGTATTCCACCTTTTTCTATTTAAAATCAGCTTTCTCCTGTGCAGACTCTCTAATTATTTTTTCCTATTAGATAAAATATTTTCGTTCATCTATCAAGTACTAATTAAGGTATCCTCAAATATCAAACTTTATCATAAGAATATAAGACAACCGCATGAATAAATAGAAAATTTTCAATTTAACAACAAATCTATGAAAAATAAGATTCTGTTTTCTAACATGCAATCTCTCAATTTAAAATGTAACAAATATAGTGTAGTTTAATTCTCATTCACGGACGTGAAAAAATAATTCAATCAAGACGATCCAACACAAGTTAAGATTAATTCAAAATAATGAATTAAAACATGAGTAATTTTTTATTCCGGATTTATGAATCGGATTCTGATAGACTCCCGTATTTATGAGTGATTCTTGCAGAAGAAATGAACACAAGTTACACAACAAGGAAGATACCAACACCCGAATGATGTAAAATACTATTTGATATTCTGTAATAGGAGAACTTTGATTATAGTAGCTAGGTAGATGGTAGGAATTAAACACGTATAATTTTTTTAGATGATCACTGAATTACACAGATTTACTGCTATGTAAATGTATTCAGCAACAATGAAATAAAATAAAAGGTTTTTGGCTCTTAGAGAGAGCTAATTCTCTCCCCCCCAAGACTATACTCAATTTATGTTCCCCTTCCTCTCTATTTTCCTCTCTATTTGTAATGGTTATCTAACTAATTCATCAGCTGCCTCTATTAATATTAAGCATTTACCCAAATTTCAATTTTGTAAAATAGGAGGATACGCAAAAGAACCAATTAGTTATTTGGAGATATCGTTCATCCTAAAAGATAACGTAACTAAGAAACATGATGAAGAAATCAAGACAAGAAGCATTTAACGTAGACGTCACCCAATAAATTTAAGGACGAGAAGATATGATGAATTTCTTCAATTTGATCTTCAATTTCAAGAGCATGGACAACTTCATGTTTAAGTTTCCATTAATTTCTTGACTTCTCTCTATGATTTCTCCTGAAAGATGAATCTTTTATGTGTTTTCTTCGATCTCTAAGGTGTATTTTTCCTTCCTCGCATCTTTCTTTAACCTAGATTCAGAGTATTTTCAAAAGATTCTCTGTACAAAATGCTCTCCTTTTTAGAAAGTCAATAATTAAAATTAGGCTTCAAGAGATTCTCTATTTTAACTTTTTTTAAAAATAAAGAGTGCGTTTGAGTCTTCAAATTTCAATACTCTAAATTTAAACTATTTTTGAATAAAAAATTATGTTAAATAAGAGATGAGGAAAAATAAATATATGTTCTTTTGAAAAATAAATAAAAAGTTAAAATAGAGAGCATGGTTGGAGTATATAAAAATTTTGAATTGTGCTACTTGTACATAAAAATGTATATAATTGTACATAATATGATGTTGAGAGAAATATTAGATGAAAAGTTAATTGTGTTTTAAATTGACAAATAGT